AGAGCACCTGCAGCTCTGCTCAGCAGAGGGGGCGGTGGGGGTGGAGAGGTGGGGTGGTGGCCTTGTGACCCTGCCGTCCTAAAGCACTGGAGGCGTGGCAGGGGTTTGCTCCATCCTGATTCATACAGTACATGTGTGGAGCTAGACACTGCAGTGAAAAGAGGCTGTATCTACTCTGTGGCGTGCAGCTCTTGACAGGGCGCTTTGGCTCCGGCACAGGGAGGCAGGGAGACACGACCCTGCTAAAAATAGCAGGGCACGTAGAGAGCCATGTAGCGTACGTACCCACAGGGTTCGGGTGTCTGTACCTGAGTCTCCTAAGCAGAGTCCTGCTAGCTACGCTGTCTGTACCTGCACTGTTCGAGCGTGAGCAGGGACATGCCCCTAGTGTGCTCTGCCTGCTAGCATGGTTGGCCTGTACCTACACACTGCCAGATGCTCACTTGCATCTGAGGGGACCAAAGCTCACTTGGAGAACTTGGAATGGGCCCCCTGGGGGCTGGAGTGGACTGTCTTGAAGACTTACTGTAGCTGCCACTACTGGGAAAGGGAGCGTGGGGATTTGATGCAGTTTGAGAATGCCAGAGAGCAGCACCCGAGACACCTTTGCTAAACAATACTTCTTGCTGACGAGGTGGGTGATGGTGTTGTGACACCTGTAGACAGATACCACGCACAGAGCACCCTCCACGCCCGTCTCTGAGCATGGCTAATCTGACAGTGCTGCAGTAGCTGGATGGTGGTGGAAGAAGCAGTCGGACCTTTAATGTAACTTTCCCGGAGAAGGATCATTGGTGTCTCTGAAATGAGCACCAGACCCTTAGAGGTTTGGAGGCTGGTTAATGCTGCTGCCTCTGTCGCTAGATGAGGTGGAAAAGGCCGAAGGCCCCTGGACAATATTTCTTGTGCGATGATTTGAAAGCGTAAGATGGGACCCTGCTACACAATAGCAGAACCACTAACCTTTCTTCACTGGCTTCCTTCTCCCGCAGTGAGATCCCTGCAGTGTGCTGTAAACACCTCCTTGCCAGCACGCGGCCACTCACTCCAGTGGGGATAGGACAAGACCCATCTCTTCCTCCAGAACAGCCGCTCGATGGCCCCCATCCTTTGGTGCCCTCTTTCGTGCCTTTCATAGATAGGAGTGAAAACAACCTCCCATGCTCCTAGCAGCTTCCCTGGGAATTTCTCTGGGGGGCAGAGACCTTGTCTCTAGTTATAAGTAAAGCCTTGTGAAAAATTAAATGCGTGCACCAGAGCTAGCACGGTAGGAATGAACTGGTTAGGATATGCGCACCACTGCCCCTACTGGTGTGAAATAAAATTGCTTGACTTAGTCTAGTATTGCTGGAAGAGGAATGTCCTTTACTTCTGGTAGCTGGGGCCTGCTCTGAGCAAGAGGCTCTGGGTTCTATCCCGGAGGCTCTGAGGAATTCTAGAGCAGCCATAGGATGAATGAGGTCTTGGACACCGATGAACTAGAGCAGGGGTAGGCAACCTATGGCACGCGTGCCAAAGGCGGCGCACGAGCTGATGTTCAGTGGCACTCATACGGCTTGGCCACCGGTCCGGGGGGCTCTGCATTTTAATCTCATTTTAAACAAAGCTTCTTAAACATTTTAAAAACCTTATTTACTTTACATACAACAATTGTTTAGTTCTATATTATAGACTTATAGAAAGAGACCACCTAAAAATGTTAAACTGTATTACTGGCACACGAAACCTTAAATTAGAGCAAATAAATGAAGACTCGGCACACCCCTTCTGAAAGGTTGCCGACCCCTGAACTAGATGCATTTAGTCTTGGTACGACTGAACTGCCAACACTTCTCCTTTAGCATCCAGGTCTCCATTCCAGTCCTGCTCCCCCCCTTCAGTGCCACAATATGCCTCTTCTAAAATCACTAGCTATGGGGGTGATGAAGTGGTGTTTCCGTGCTGTGATCGATCCTACCCAGTCGCTCATCAGGGGTCCCCTACCTCGCACAGCAGTAGGAAACTGGAGAAGACTAGTACAATTATCTTGCCACTAGAGACGGTCTGTGCCTGGGGGAGGAAGCCACGTGAGGCCTTTTGGGAAACAACAAAACCTGATCTGTTCAGATTGGCGTCAAACAATAGCCTGCACAAGCCTCTATTCTGGTCTCTCGACTGCTAAGACATGTACATGATTGCTGTATTGACACAATCTCTCCCTGTTCTTTCAAAACCGAGGGTTGGATCCTCTGCTTGTGTAGCTCCATTGAGTCCAATGGAGCTGCACCAGTTTATAACCGCTATGTGGATTAACCCCAGCTGAGGATCTGGCCTGGCATGTTTAAATGCTATTGTGCAAGCTTCCTGTCTCCGTCCCGTGCCTAGCAGAGCTCAGTGAAGCGTGCGTCGTGGGGAGGGGTTCGCTCTGACTGACCTCGGTTAGTCCTGCTCCACAGGAATAGCTAATGTGCACAGAAGGGGCTGCTGCAGAGCAATTCCTGTTCACCCTGTGAAGCCAGGCTCTCCGACTTGGGAGCTGCCTGGTGGGTTTTCAGGAGGTTCTTCACACTAGCCGCAGGGTGAGCTGCGCTGGCCTGCCTGAGAATGTGCAGTCCTTGGGCCCTGCACTTCATGGGTAAAGAAGCAACTCTTCTTGCAGGCTAAGCAGTGGTTCTCAGGCAGGGGTATGTACCCCTGGGGGTACACAGAGATCTTCTAGGGCAGGGGTGGGCAAACTTTTTGGCCCGAGGGCCACATCGGGGTTGCAAAACTGTATGGAGGGCCGGGTAGGGAAGGCTGTGCCTCCCCAAACAGCCTGGCCCCCACCCCGTATCCGCCCTTCCCGCCCCCGACTGCCCCCCTCAGAACCCCTGACCCATCCAACCCCCCCCTGCTCCTGTCCCCTGACCACCCCCTCCTGGGACCCCTCACCCCCTATCTCCAACCCCCCCTGCTCCCTGACTGCCCCGACCCCTATCCCCCCCCCCGCCCCCCCCCCCCCCCCCCCGGTCCCCCCCCCCCCCCCCCCCCCCCCCCCCCCCCCCCCCGAGAACCTCCACCCCATCCAACTGCTCCCTGTCCCCTGAGTGCCCCCTGGGACCCCCTGCCCCTTATCCCACCCCCACCCCCTTACCATGCCACTCAGAGCAGCATGTCTGGCAGCCATGCTGCCTGGTCAGAGCCAGACGCACCGCCCTGCAGGAGCATGCAGCCCCGCCCAGAGCGCTGCCCGCGCGGCGGCGTGGTTGCACACTCCTGCGGGGGAGGGGCCGGGGGCTAGCCTCCCTGGGCAGGACAGTCTGCCGGGCCGTAGTTTGCCCTCCTCTGTTCTAGGGGGTACCCCAACTCATCTAGATATTTGCCTAGTTTTATACCAGGCTACATTTAAAAAGCCCTAGCAAAGTCAGTACAAACTGAAATTTCATACAGACAATGACTTGTTTATACTGCTCTGTACACTCTACACTGAAATGCAAGTACAATATTTTATATTCCAATTGATGTATTTTATAATAGGTGGTAAAAATGAGAGTCAGCAATTTTTCAGCAATAGCATGTTGAGACACTTGTATTTTTATGTCTGATTTTATAAGCCAGTAGTTTTAAGTGAGGTGACACTTGTGGGGAGGGGGGGTAGGGATGCAAGACCAATCAGACTCCTGAAAGGGGTACAGTAGTCTGGAACGGTAGAGAGCCACTGGGCTATGGCATGGGGTGGCGAAACAGGAGATAAGTGAGTGCAAAGAACCAGCTTTCCCATCAGTATCGGATGCAGAAGTGCGCGCTCTCTCTCGTTGGGGGTGATAGCTAAGACAGCTAGTTCAGTTATTAGCATCCGCATACTCTCCCTTTTGGGCGATCGCTCACACGACTCCAACTCTGTGCATGGGCTTGGGTTCAGCTGCACCCTAACTTGTGTGTACCCCCCTCCCCCTTTGCTTCCCCTCGTCTGCCCTGAGGGCGGGGGCAGCGGTAAGCAGAGCAACACCGTTTTAAGTCTGGCCGTGGGTGTTTGTTTGGACTGAAACACCTCGACGGTCCTTTTCTTGGCTTGTGCTGTTAATAGCCGCGCCACTCCAGAGACTTGTGAGGTAATGTTCGCCCTGGCACAACTTTTGCTAATTCATAATCCATTTAGCAGTTAATTAGGGATTGGCCGGTCCTAGAGGAGCTTTGTTCAGGAGCACATAGGGAAGGTGTGATCCATTGGGATGGCTGCAGAATTGTATGTGCTAGTTAGTCCTCTCTGGTGACTCCACCACCTGGCACACTCCTCTGGCTAGATCACCAGCTGCAGCAAACGGTGGGGGGGAAGGGCTGGCTTTAAATAAACTTACTCCTAGCAGCCTGGCTCTCATGAGGAACCTTTGCTCCAGTGCCTGAGGACTTGGCCACAGGGCGGTGCTTAGGGGGGGGGCATGGGGGGGTTTTGTTTTTTTTTTTTTTTTTTTTTTTCCCCCCCTCCCCCTGCAGAGGATGGGTGTTCATGGCCATATTGCTCTATTGTGGGGCTGTTGCCGCTCATTTGCTGAACTGCGTGAGGCAAAAACCACATGGGCTGTAGAGTCTTGTCTTCTCCCTTCAGTGGGAGATCAGGCTGTCTCTCTCTCCACCGAGGTCATGCACCTCTTTCCCAAGGCCTGGCCTTGGGAGTCTTTCTTCCTGGCCTGGATATCTCCCTTCAAGCTGGGTTTCTCTGAAGTCTTCACTGAGGGCAGAGTAGCATTGTCCTACCTGAATAATGCTAAGATACTTCTTGTGCAGAGATGCCACAGTGATGGGGCAGTAGGAGTGATGATCACTGAAGTACTTTCGGTAGCTAGCACTCTCTCAAAAACCCCCAAGCCGTGACAGTTGTGTAGCGGCATTCCATGGCCCCCTCTGACACCTGGGCAAAAGTACGTGAGATGCAGATGAGCCAGTTGCCCGCATTTGCATCACCTTGCAGCATTTTCATGCTTAATGAAATCACTTCTCAAGTCCTAGTATGCTTGAGACTAAAGATCTTTGCTATTCCTCAGAGCTACCAGAAAACTGGACCGACACCAGAGAGACCCTACTGGAGGGAATGCTCTTCAACCTAAAGTACATGGGCATGACGTTGGTGGAACAGCCCAAAGGAGAAGACCTCTCAGCAGCTGCTGTCAAAAGAATTGTGGCAATGGTGAGTGTCATCAGGGTTCTAAGTGGCTCTGACTCCTAACAAAGGAGATCCCTGCAACTCTGCAAAACCAAACAATGCAGACGCTTCTCTTCCTGGTGTTGAAGCAAATGATTCTTGAACACACGTCCTAGATGTAAATGCTTCCTATACACACCCCTTTCCCGGGGTGTTGCGTAAGAAGCCAGGAGATGATGGGGGGGCCCCAGAAGGACTGTGGGGTTTAGGTGGAATAAAACCTGGTATATGATCTCTCTAGTGCAGGGGTTCTCAAACTTCATTGCACTGTGACCCCCTTAAAATTACTACACGACCCTGGGAAGGGGGACTGAAGACCGACCCCCTCTGCCCCAGATGGGGGGGCCAAATCCGAAGCCTGGGACCCGCCCCCCACCGTAGGGGAAGGGGTGAAGCCAGAGCTTGAGGGCTTCAGCCCTGGGCAGGTGGGGGCTGTAACCTGAGTCCTGAAGCCCTCCGGCTTCGGCTTCAGCCCTGGGCAGTGGGGCTCAGACTTCTGGCTTCAGCCCCAGCAAGTGTAACGCCAGCCCTGGCAACCCCATTAAAACAGGGTTACGACCTACTTTGGGGTCCCGACCCACAGTTTGAGAACAGTTGCCCTAGAGCTTTGTCCAGTCTCGCTAGAACTCTCTCACGTGGGTATACTGGGTCCTCCCATAGGAAGAAAAGGCCTTGAATGGTGATTGCTGTGTCTGCAGCTGTGGTTAACCCTTAATCACGGCTGTCACACACTGTTCTAGGAAAACTTCAGGGTTGTCAGTAGATATCTCTAGTATTGTGGATACCTTGCTCAGGTAAATGTTGCCAAATCTTGACTACTTAATGGTGCAACCACTCTAAAAGCAGCCTATATACTCTTCATGTCAAACTCTGTCTCCCCAGAGATGGTTAGTGGACCTCTGGTATGGGAATTCCCAGTCCCCATATCGCTGTGTTGGATGCAGTGGCATTGGAACAGTTTTTATAGGGGGGGGCGGCTGCTGAAAGCCATTGAACCAAACTGTAAACCCTATGTGTGATTGGAAACGCTTCAAGCCAGGGCGTGCTGCCACCCCTCCAGCCCCTCTGGTTCTAGCATCCCTGGTTGGATAGGGTTTCTCTGAGCTTTACAATCCAGAGGTGGATTGGAAGGGACCAGCACAATCCATGCAGCCTTTTCCTGGCCACTGAAAAGGCCATTAGTCTCCCGTGCAACTGACTGATACTTCTTTAATCTTGCCAGCGCAGAACAGCTACCGATTGTTAAATATTTAACACTGCAACTTACTTAGGAGTCCATCCTTATTCACCACTCGTGCTACAGCAAATTAATGCGTCTTTAGACACTTATAAAATGGAACGAGGCAAAGATTCGGTTGCATGGTTAATCTGCATAAAACTAACCGTGGTGGCCAAATGCTTCAGGCAGTGAGTAGTATCTTCCTGACACGGGCTGAACTTCAAGGGAGGTGAAATGGGCGGGGGAGGGGATATGGCGTCTGGGAAACGAGATATGTTAACTAATTCCTCCCTCCTCCCCCCCACTCTGAATTCTGGGATGGATTATGACTCCTGCAGCCGCTGAGCCCTGCATGAAAACCTAGGGGCAAAGCCTCTGCTAGCATCATTGGCTCTGCAGACTTCTGGCCCTAAAGCTCATGGGAGTGTTGCTAAACCTATATTGCAACTGGCTGTGTACCTCGTGGCGGAGACTGGGGAGTGGGGCCCTTCCCCTCTTAAGCTTTGGGGAGGGCACTGCTCACTTCTCTGCTCCGGATCTCTGGCTTCTCCCAATAGTGCATGGCTCTTGCGAAAATGTGTGCTTACAAAGTACTGGGAAGTTGTCTGTCTCCGTGAAACTGACTTTCATCTGTCTCACTTGGGTGCCTACTAACTCTTGGGTTGCTAGTCGTGGTGTATCTGGGATCTCGCGGGATCATTGCTGTGGTGGGTGGAAGCTCATGCCCTTGGCTAGAGGACTCTGGGTGTGCACCCAAAGAGGTCTCCCTGTAAGTACAACTCTCCTTGAGGCTCTTAACTGAGGGACAGTGCTGGGGAGTGAGGGCCTGGAACCTGCTGCGTTGCTGTCGGCACTTTGAAGTGGTGGTGGTCTGACGACTTTCCTGGCAGGTGGGAGATGCCCCAGGCTGTACTCCAGAGGAGAGCTGAGGTTCTCTTCACTGGGCTGCAGGTGGCTGAATGTAGCATGTGGCCAATCTAGTGCTTTTTTTTCCTCTGCTGGCCTCTGTGAACTTAATTGACTATCTTGAAGGGCAGTTAAAATTCAAAGAAAACGTGAACTTGCAAGAGCCACTAAATGTGTGAGTGATACAAAGTTAGAGCATTGGGGTCAGAGAGGTGGTTAGAGATGGTTTTGGCAACAGTCCATTGCTCTTAGATGTCCAAGCGTGTTGTGTCTAGTCTCCAGCCATTCGTCCCTCTAATGCTGAGTAAAGACGTGGGAAACAAACTGCGCTGCAAATCTAGTGTTGCAACAGCAGACTTCCTCTGTCTGGACTCCATTGTGGCCAAGCTAGTACTCCTCAGGAGCAGCCTGGTTGGCCTGCAAAGCAGCAGCTGGCAAAGGTCCCACTCCTGCAGTATCTGGAGTATACAAGTGCTACATGCACTGGGCTGTCCCACAAATTTGGGAGGAGGTAAGCATCATTCCTTTGTTAGAAGAAGCACGGAGGTGGCGGACTGGAGCTTGGTGATGCCAACCCTTGTAGTACATGATGGCATTAAAGCCCCAGCTCCTGGAGTCATGTGATTATTTGAGACGCTGCTTACTCTTCCTAGTGGACATTTCTAGACCTTGTGTTAGCAGAGAAGAGCTTAAAAATGGGACCACGGTGTGCCCTAGAGACTCAAACCAGAAATCAATGAAACGTATTTTTTTAAAAATCATGATTTTGGGGGATGGGTGGCAGCCTGACTGGGATTGGCAGCGCTGTGGAATACTGAAGGCCACTTCTGGAACAGCATCTGCCAGCTTGAGCAATGGCTCCTGAGCTCTTGTCGCTATACTGCTTCCTTAAATCCAACCTGCCTTGTCAGCCCTCATGGGCCAGTGGACAGTGAAGTCGAACTAACGCTGCAGAGGCTGTAAGCAAGCCCTGATTTCAGTTGTCCATAGGACAGCAAGGTACAGTTACCCACTAGTATCTGAGTGCAAATACCACTGCATTAGGTGAAGGATATCAAAACTTTCACTTTTTTTAATAAGGTGCACTCTGAAATGGGCTTGTTCCTGTTTTTTTTTTTTTTTTTTTTTTTCAGGCCACATATCCACTGACTCTCCTCAGTAACTTGAGGATCGGGCTTTCAATAAACTATTCCTTTATGGGATTACTTAAGGCAGCTTGAACAGAAGATAATGGCTTATTACAGGTGTGGTGTAATTACTGCCACCAAAGGATAGCTCTGTTCAAACGCCATTGCATGTCACCCCTCTCTTGCTGGCTACTGTGTAATCTGAGAGCTCTAGCATTTCCTTGGATATCAGACTGAAAACTAAACCTCTGCAGAACTTGGCAAATTCTGCAGGAGCCCAGTTGATCTCTGCCAAGACTACACCCATGTCGGTCATGTAGCCTTCAGACACTGTAATCAGTACAGTAAAGTCCCTCTGACCACAGGGACTGTGGGCACAGTATCAAAGCATGTTATGGGGGGTGCATGCTTAGTGCCATCATAAATCAGTGCTTCAGCAAAGGTACCATTTTAATATTACTTGACTTTAGCAAAGCTTTTGATACGGTCTCCCACAGTATTCTTGCCAGCAAGTTAAAGAAGTATGGGCTGGATGAATGGACTATAAGGTGGATAGAAAGCTGGCTAGATCGTCGGGCTCAACAGGTAGTGATCAATGTCTCCATGTCTAGTTGGCAGCCAGTATCAAGCGGAGTGCCCCAAGGGTCGGTCCTGGGGCCGGTTTTGTTCAATATCTTCATTAATGATCTGGAGGATGGCGTGGACTGCACCCTCAGCAAGTTTGCAGATGACACTAAACTGGGAGGAGTGGTAGATACAGTGGAGGGTAGGGATAGGATACAGAGAGACCTAGACAAATTAGAGGATTGGGCCAAAAGAAACCTGATGAGGTTCAACAAGGACAAGTGCAGAGTCCTGCACTTAGGACGGAAAAATCCCGTGCACTGCTACAGACTAGGGACCGAGTGGCTAGGCGGCAGTTCTGCAGAAAAGGACCTAGGGGTCACAGTGGACGAGAAGCTGGATATGAGTCAACAGTGTGCCCTTGTTGCCAAGAAGGCTAATGACATTTTGGGCTGTATAAAGGGCATTGCCAGCAGATCGAGGGACGTGATCATTCCCCTCTATTTGACATTGGTGAGGCCTCATCTGGAGTACTGTGTCCAGTTTTGGGCCCCACACTACAAGAAGGATGTGAAAAAATTGGAAAGAGTCCAGCGGAGGGCAACAAAAATGGTTAGGGGGCTGGAGCACATGATTTATGAGGAGAGGCTGAGGGAACTGGGATTGTTTAGTCTGCAGAAGAGAAGAGTGAGGGGGGATTTGACAGCTGCTTTCAGCTACCTGAAAGGGGGTTCCAAAGAGGATGGATCTAGACTGTTCTCAGTGGTGGCAGATGACAGAACAAGGAGTAATGGTCTCAAGTTGCAGTGGGGGAGGTTTAGGTTGGATATTAGGAAAAACTTTTTCACTAGGAGGGTGGTGAAGCACTGGAATGGGTTACCTAGGGAGATGGTGGAATCTCCTTCCTTAGAGGTTTTTAAAGTCAGGCTTGACAAAGCCCTGGCTGGGATGATTTAGTTGGGGATTGGTCCTGCTTTGAGCAGGGGGTTGGACTAGATGACCTCCTGAGGTCCCTTCCAACCCTGATATTCTATGATTCTATGAAGGGCTTATTGTACCTAGTAGTAAAATCAGTCTCTGATAGTAACAAGTGCCATTAATTTGTCTATTAAACAATACACATCTAGAGTGAGTAATTGGCCACCATGATGTAACTTTGGATGTAACCATGCTATATACCTGTAAATCTATTTGCTTTTCCTTTCCAAGGCTAAAGCACGTGGCAAGAAACTGCAGAAAGTTACCCTGAAGGTATCTCCCAGAGGGATTATCCTAAATGACAGCGGAACTAACGAATTGATAGAAAACGTCTCGATATACAGGTATGTTATTGGAGACACTTCAGCATGTAAAGCAGGGGTGGGCAAACTACGGCCCGGGGGCTGCATCCAGCCCTTCAGACATTTTAATCCGGCCCTCGAGCTCCTGCTGGGGAGTGGGGTTGGGGGCTTGCCCCACTCCGTGCATACTGTGGCTTCATGCAGCTCCCGGAAGCAGTGGCGCGTCCCCCCCCCCCCCCCCCCCCCCCCCGAGGGGGCCCCCAAGGGGCCCCCCCCCCCCCCCCCCCCCCAAGCCCCCCCCCCCCCCCCCCAGCTCCCATTGGCAGGGAACCACGGCCAATGGGAGATGCAGGGGCGGCGCCTGCGGACGGGGCAGCGCACAGAGCCGCTTGGCTCCACCTCCGCGTAGGAGCCGGAGGGGGGATATGCCGCTGCTTCTGGGAGCTGCTTGAGGTAAGCGCTGCCCTGCCCCACACCCTCATCCCCTGCCCCAGCCCTGATCCCTCTCCTGCCCTCCCAACCCCTTGGTCCCAGCCCGGAGCCCCCTCCTGAACCCCAAACCCTCATCCCCAGTCCCACCCCAGAGCCCTCACCCACCCGCACCCCAGCCCAGAGCCCCCTCCCACACCCTGAACTCCTCATGTCTGACCCCACCCCAGAGCCCGCATTCCCAGTCGAAGCCCTCACACCCTCCCGCACCTCAACCCCCAATTTCATGAGCATTCATGGCCCACCATACAATTTCCATACCCAGATATGGCCCTCAGGCCGAAAAGTTTGCCCACCCCTGGTGTAAACGTATGGAGCCCAAACCTGTTCCTGTTCGAACTGATGGGAGTATTAGCCCTGGCTTCACAGCCTATAGTCTGGTGCGAGGTTAGGGAGAGAGAATGCATCAGGCTCCAGTCTTCACCTGTACTGGAGGCTGACCACATCTTTACGAATCTGTTCTTGAAAGCAAAGATCAAAAGCGGAGGCTATGCGGGAAGAGGGGAATGAGTGAACACTAGCCACCATGAGACTCCAAAGGGAAACCATCTGTCTAGTGCAATAAACGGGGCCAAGAAGGGGGAAGGATAAGGAAAAACTCTGCAAAATACAAAGCATGCAGTTCATTTAGATTGGTGACCCTGACTGTAGAATGTGCCCCATCCACTGAGCGTCTGATAGTGTTGTGGAATCAGACGCACACGAGAACCTCAGGGCCAAGAGCATCTGAGACTGGGAAAAGGTAACGGAGGCACCTCTTGGAGAGGAGGGCTGGAATGTTTGAGACGTCGTCTAGTTCTGTCCCGCCCGAAGCGATTGCTTCCGTGTCGTGTGGTGAGCTCTAACAAACGGCAACGGTCAAATGTGGTTAGCGTCAGACTTCAGCTGGGTCTCCTGTGTGGAACAGGGGGACTCTCCGCCCAGAAATGGAGGGTGGTGACTTACAGGGCTCGGTCTCCCCTCCAGGCTCGCTAAGGCTCTGTCTGACCCTCTGCGAATACTTTCTCTCCCTCCGTTTGCGCGACTCATCCCCTTGCCGTTGTACTGACTGTGTAGTGCCCAGAGATTCCAGGTGGGATTGGCGCCTCATTGTGGTAGGCAGGGAAAGCACACGCAGTCCCTGCCCTGATAGGCTTTCAGCCTCCCTGACAAGAGGCCAAGACTGAATGGAGCCTGGAGGCTGAACTCTCCTCTTTACCCTAGAGAGACCAGCAGGGGCTGAGAGGTGGGCAGGCTGCTGTGGTGTGGCTAGAGGATTTTGGCTTCCAACGTGAACAGCTCAGCTCCTCCCGGGAGCCCGAACTCGCTCTGAAGCGGGCAAAAGGCAGATTACATTTAAGGCAGCTTAATAGACCTCAGACTTCTGACTTTAGGTGTCGAAAGTGGTTCCGAAGTTAAAACCAGTGGTCCGGCTACAGCAAGAGGCACATGCAGCTACTGCTGATAAGCAGGGAATGGCAGGAGCGTTCCCAGGCGTTAATCCGGTTCCATGGTTAAATGCAGCCCCTTTAAAGTTCCATCTAGGGGTGCTGGTGTACTTAGCCAGCTGGATTTTCCCACTTCGAAGGGGTCAGCGCTAACTCTCTTTCCCCTCTCCCACTCCTACCATGGCTTAGATTCAGGGCCTGAACAATCGGTAATGCTAAAGACCAGGATGAGGAATTAAGTCAGCGAAGCTGTACAGCCTGTACAGGAGATCAGACTAAATGATCACAATGGTCTCTTCTGTCGTTATAATCTAATGTGGCGGGGTGGGGGGCAGATTATCCCATACTTGCCTACTGTGGGGTTCTTGCACCTTCTTCTGAGCATCTGGTGTGGCCACAGTCAGACTGGGTACTAGAGTAGATGGATCCAGGTATGATCCATTCTGATGACTCCTGTGTTCCATGCCTCCTTCCATCCTCCCCTGTCTTGGAGTATTGTTGTACGTCTCCTCCCCCCGGCCCATACTGAAATACAGGGTAGTGGCATTTTGCATTGCCTAGTGGTCAGTTCATAGGAGGCCTTTGGATCACTGAGGGTCTGGACAAAGACCATTGACCTTCCTTGCTCTACACAGTCAACTGGATAAACATGGTCATGTTAAAAGGCATGAGAGTGGAGTTCCTTCTGCAATCTTCTCTCCCCATAAGCCCCCTCACAATTAAAAGTTAACAGCTGCAGACCTGGCCTCCAATTCTGCTCTCTTAATCACTCCAGATTAATCCTGGTCCTCTGAAATCAGTGGAACTATGCTACGGGGGAGGGCAAGAGGTGGGAAAACAAGTGAGTGCAGACCTGAGGTCTGAATAGTTAGCTGCTGCTTTGAATTCAGCTTGGACACTTGAACAGAGAACGGTGAAGCTGTCCCTTCCGGTCCATGTTTATACAAAGGTATGCTCTGAGTTGACTGAAGTCTGTGTGTCTTAAGGCAGCTGACAACATCAGAGGCAGTTCTGTAAAACAATACCACTTTGGTTGAAGGAATAACTTTCCCTAAAGGAGGGAGGGTTGATGTGCATGAATTTAATTTTCTCTTGCAAGCTTTCTTTTATTGCCCAAAGTAATTTCTTCCCCCGTGTGCCGGGTCATGCTTGAACCGACAGCTGTGGTCTCTGGAGCACTCCCCCTCAAACCTGTAACTTTTATCAGGCAAACTCAGACGTCACTGGCAGAAACTGTAATCTCTTCACGACTCTGCTCAGGCAGGATCCTAACGGACTCGCTGCAGCTTAAAACGCAGCCCCGGTGACGCTGTAGGTGGTGTTCAGACTGGCCCCTTTGTGTGTGGTGAGTTGCCTTCCAGTTACAAAACCGATTAACTTCAGAGGCTGGTGTGAATGACCCTGCCGTGCCGTTGAAAACGAATGATGATTGTACATGGAGGTGAACAGTGGGGGTTGCTATGAGGCAGGGTGGGTGGGTGTGTGTGTGTGACACACGCACCCAGGAGGTTTTGCTGCAGTTTTCAGAAAGGCCAACCTGGCTGCTTTGAAAGCAAATGACGGAGGGGAATAAACCTGAAGTGCCTCATACAAAGTATGACGCCGCTCGGCAAGGCAAAATGTAGGCCAGTGAGCAAAAGTAACCTGATGCACAAAAAGAAATGAAATGAAAGTGTAAATAAATCTTGACTGTGGCTTTTTAAGTCTGTCTGGGAAATGAGATGCCCTTGCCCCTTCCTAGGGGACAGTCGTGCGAGCAAGGGCTGAATGGAGAATCTGGTGCCGTGAGAAGATTAACTACGGGGGCCCCCCTTTCTTCCTCTAATCCTCTTCAGGGTTTTCTTAGAACCTGTCTTGTGGGGAGGTCACATCCTCAGTGGCCTGCTAGATTAAATCCCTGACAGTTGTATGTGCCCCTTGCATTGCATTTCAGTGACTCAGCTGCCGCGTGTCGCAGTGACACGCACTGACGTAAAACGGGAGTAGCCGATCCCTGTGTGAATATCCGCACAGAGGGACGGGGGGCGGGCAGGGTAGTGGTGGGAAGGAAACTCTCAGAATTCTGAGGATCCTGCCCCCACACTCTACACAGGCGCATTTCTAGTCTGCTAACCTGGCCAATGCCTGGTCAAAGGACACCCTGCTTGCTGGCCAAACCCTTGTTCAGAAATGCAAAGCGCTGCCTGCCTGGCTCAGGGGAAAGCAGCCCCTCAGAGGGAATGTCCCTCAAACCGCAGGCGGAGTGAATTCCCCATGGCCCACTGAGTTCAAGGATGCCTGCAGCTGCTAGAGCAGATCTCCTGGAGTTTGAGGCTCATCCTTTCGGACAGACTTTCCTGGTCCCCGACATCTGCTTCTCTCTCTGACTGACGCACACACAGGGGAGCTTCCGGAGTAATTTGTGATGCTGGAACAACTCGGGCTCTCTCCTTGCTGGAAGAGAATATCCATGAGATTGTCCTCGCCGCAAAGTGTCTCTTGCCCAGCTCAAAAACTAGCACATCACAAAACCCAGGCAAAGAGTTTCCTTCCCTTGAGCAAAGGTAAAGGCTCCTGTTCAGAGGCTGTAACCCCACCAAAGGCATCATTCAGTGTGTGGCTCTGCTCCCCTTCCGTCCCGCTTTGCTGCCTTCACAGTTGTGGTTCTGAAGCCTAAAATGGGGCTTGTCTTCATTCAGGCCAAGAGTTTCCCTCAATCTCCAACTGGGGGCTCTTAGAACGTGGTGGTATTCATGTTCCCTCTGTGTCTGCCATGCTGAATCTGACCTTCAGCCTGCTAGGTCTGAGTTCAGTGCGCGAGCTGGTGCCCTGCCCACCCTGCTATAAGCCAAGTGTCTAACTGTCCCTCGCTCTGACTTTCAGGATCTCTTATTGCACCGCAGACAAGAGCCACGATAAAGTGTTTGCCTACATTGCTCAGAGCCAGCACAACGAGAACCTGGAGTGTCACGCTTTCCTCTGCCCCAAACGGAAACTGGTCAGTAGAAAGGAGGGCGCGGGTCCGTACGGCTGTTACCGGAGCGGTGGGCAGGGTTCAGTGCTTCGTAAGCTCCTCGGGGCAGGGACCTTGCTTACTGATCTAAGGGCCTGATCCGGCAAACAGCTCTGCCTGCCAGTATTGGCGTCCCTGTGCTCGCAGACGTGGCTCGGGGCTGTCGGCCACACTGTGTCTCTGGAAGCACGGTACAGCCCGAGCATGTCGTAGGTTGTAGTGAGGCTAAATCAACCTGCATACGTGCTGAGGGGAGGGGCAGATCTAATCTGTTATGTCGCTTTTGTGCTGATGTTGGGAGGAACTTTTAAATTCCTTGCTGGGTTTGACTTTGAGGTGCTGAGAACCCGCAACTTCTTCTGTTTCTTATGGGAGCGCCAGGATCTCAGCTAGTCTGACCACTAGGCTGCATGCCCCCATGAGGTGAGGCCCCATCTCACTTTCTCAGAAGTGAGAGTCCCCTGTTAGAGGCAAAATACAGAGTAAAGAATGACAGTTGAGCCTGGAAATTTACTTGAAGGCCCTGATCCCATAAATACTTCAGTGTGCTTAGAGTTCAGCACATGTTTAGCCTGACTGAAGTCAATGGGACTTAGTCGCATGCTTAAAGATAAGCAGAATTGAAGCTTCTAATCGGGCCGGGTGGGAAGGGGGCCTTTATCTTAAAGGGAGGAGAAGAGTAGCATTTGCTACACTGTCGCCAACCCCTCCTGCCTGCCGAAATTCTCCTGGCACTTCCTCGCTTAATGAAATGCCAGGCAGCATCATTTCTGCATTGTCCCTCGTTCCCCATGGCTGCAGTAAGACTGTAGGCGTGTTTGGTGGGGCTACCATTGCAGCCAGAATACTGGATTCTTCCATGGGTGGGAAAGAATTTTAAAAAGGAGAGGGGCCAGGCAGCACAAGGCATTTGTGTGTGTTCGTTCCCTGCTTCTGCTTCACCTCAACTTTCCCCCCTGCTTTGTGGCTCACTTTTTAAGATCTCTCTCTCTCTCTCTCAGTATCGAAGCCCGTGATACATTTTGTTAATATACTTGACGGCAAATTTAGCACCATCGCGCTGTAAGTGACGCACAGCGTGAAACACGAGATGGTAACACTTCCTAAGGAGAATCGTCAGAGCTGGGGAATAACCGGCCGCTTTTGTTCTGAGCAGAGTGATTGGGTTTTTTTTGTTTGGTTTCTCTGCCCCCCCCCTTCCCCCTCCGGCTCAATGTATCGCATAAGGTGGGAGCTCTTCTGAGCTGGGACAGCGTGGGCTAAGGCCAAGCACTTAAGAGTTGGCAAGGGAGAGAAATGGGTCACTGGGCATAAGCTGTGAGTGGATGTAGAGAGCGATTAGATCTCCTCCACTCACACAATGGGGAGGGAGGGACTGATGCGCCAGAGAGACCTTGCGGTGGAGATGTGGGTGAGTCGAGGGGGGCTGGGCTTAAAGTGTGTGTGCTAGGAAACGGGGGGTGTCCTCCTCTGCCTGCTCTAGTAGGATGGGGGGACCAGACCTATGCATACCCCAGACACAGAGCAGCAGAACCCCCTTTCTGTGGAGGAACCCATGCAGGGGCTGGAAGTGCTCATCCCCTGCACACTGGAACTCAGCTTCACGGGGAGCGGGGATGTGATCTAGGCAGGGAGCTGTAGCTCTAAATGACACCCTGCCTGCTTCATGCCCTTATTTCTGCCATTCCCATCCTTTTTCCCCCAAATCGGGAGCGTAATCAGAACAGAGGCTGCAGCAACAACTGTTCTCACATCATGGGGGAGTCGGGGTAGGTTTCCTCATCCCAGCTCCTATGGCATTGCCCCTGCAGCAAGCGCCTTTCAGTCAGGCTGGGGCAGAGAAGAGAGAAACTTTGCCCCCAGCAACGTGGGCCAGACCCCCGCTCCAAACACCCCCTGCCTCTCCAGGCATGAATGGCAGTGTTAATATTCCGTCCCTTTCCTCCACCTCTGTGGGGGAGCGGGGAACGTAATGGAAGCAACCAGTTCTCTCCTGGCTGCAAAGCACAGCCCCGTCTTCGCGCTGCCAAGATAAGAGACTCTCTGCAAATTAAAATTTAAATCTCTCCAGTGCTAAAAGAATTATCTCTTTGGTACATCAGCTCAATACATCTTCCTCAAAATAAAAAAAAAAAGTTCTCCCAGGCCTTTTGTGGTGGAAAGTAGAATCTTTGTCCACACATAAAATGCGTGAACGCCATGCTGATAAAAGGTAAACTGATACTGCGATACCAGAGCCTGGCATCTAAGACTCTAACACAGGGTTCGGTATGTATAGCTACCCGGCTCTGGCATATAATTAGTCCATATTTTTAGTTCATGGGCAATTCTCAACGGTAGCTGGGTCTATTAAACTTGATTCAGATGTGACAGCTTAAATTGTAAACAGCTGTGGGGAGTTTCATACTTAATTACCATATTTAAGTTTTTGCCATAAAGCATTCATGCTTCCATCAAAGATGTAAATAGCTCAGACATTCAAATGAGATCCTCTACTTTGTGAGGTTTAATTGGCAGAGATGGGTTTTGTGTGTTTTGATTTTTCCCTTTTCAAAAGCCCATGGCTCTTGGAACTTATTTCTCAATTAAACTTTTTTTTTTTTCTCCGCTTTCCCCAAAGCCTGGAGGAGGGGGAAGTTCCATGTCTTGGAAGCCGGATTTATTTTGCATGCGACTCTAAACGCAAACTTATAAACCAGCAGCCATCTAAAAAGTGCCTGCTTCAGCCTCGTGATGTGCTACTGCATGTAAAATCTTCAATGAACTCAATCTTTAATGACCCCGGCATCCCACCTCGCTCCCTCGCCACGCTAGTAAGCCTTGCTATAGCTCAAAGGGCTGGTCTGAGTGGGGGGTTTTATACGGCTCTGTCCGTCTAGAAACATACAGTTGAATGGGTGTGGATGCAGTTACAGCAGTGTGTAGCTGTTTCTGTAAACTCTGGAGAAATAAGCTACATTGAGGCCTGGGCTACTCTGGGTGGATGGGGGGGGGAGGTTGAACTAAGATACGCAACTTCAGCTACGCTATTCGTGTAGAAGTCGAAGTATCTTAGTTCGACTTACCTGGCCGTCCTCACGGTGGCGAGTCGACCGCCGCGGCTCCCCCGTCGACTCCGCTTACTCCTCCTGCCGAGGTGGAGTACGGGCGTCGATTCGGGGATCGATTTAGCGCGTCTAGACGAAACGTGCTAAATCGATCTCCGATACATCAAAGACTACCCGCCAATCCGGCGGGTAGTGTAGATGTACCCCAAGACTCTTTTACTATAGAAGTGAGTCCACACGAGGACAGTTACTACACTGTGTGGAAGTGGAGAAAGAAACCCGCTTAAGTACAGTGGTACAAAAAATGTGTGGCCTAGAGGGCCAAACTTGCTGCTGGTGCAAGTGGGTGTAACAGTCCCCTGCAGATAGGAAAGGCTCCCATTGACTTCACTGAGAGCTGGGTGCCTAAACTGTGTCTTTGAAAGCTTCCCTGTATCTGTCTGTGCTAATTAACAGTCAGCTCTTACTCTATCATTAAGAGCTGAAACTGATTGTGGGGACACCAGCTTTCATTCCCCAACTATCTAGTGCTTTTTCTTACAGCATCTTGTTACTTGAGATTGTTCCAACTTGAACGGGGAAGAGGGGAAGGAATTGGTGATGGGCTATAGCTCACTAACCTGCCATTGCCAGTCCAGCCCTACATCTGTAGTGAAAGTCATTACGGGCCACCAACACCTGCCATTGCTGGCACCTTTCTTGGCAGTCAGATGGCCCCTGAAAATTGAGGAGGGGTGTCCCATGCTTAGGCACTCGTCCAGGATTTGAAAGAACCAAGTTTGATTCCTTGCTGTGCCACAGGCTTCCTGCATGCCCTTGTGCAAGTCACTTAGCCACTCTTCTTCTTATTATATGGAGATATACCTATCTCATAGAACTGGAAGGGACCTTGAAAGATCAACTTCAGTCCCCTGGCTTCACAGCAGGACCAAGTACCATCTCTGACCGATTTTTGCCCCAGATTCCTAAATGGCCCCCTCAAGGATTGAACTCACAACCCTGGGTTTAGCAGGCCAGTGCTCAAATCACTGAGCTATCCCTCCCCCCTGTACCTCAGTTTCCCCCATCTGTACAATGGGGATAATAGCACTTCCCTGCCTCGCAGGGGTGTGGTGAGGCGCTCAGATACTACTTGCATGCCCCCGTCACTGTATCTTGGAGGATTAATAGTAGTCATTCTACCTGGTCGGGATTGAGGCACAGGGGAGGGGCCAGTATGCAAGGCACTCTGTGTGCATTGAGGCTAGAGGGGTCTTTAGCCTCCGGAGCTGTCAGTGTGACACCTTCCCTTTCTCTCTGAAAATAATTGTTTTCTTAGGTGTAACACGCCTGCAGCCAGCTCTGTTCAGCAGCGTCCTATGGCGAGCAGAGACTCCTTGTTGCTATCAATGTTTGATTACCTCTTTCTAAAGGGGTGTAGGACTCGTAAGCTCCAGGTTCACATCTATCAGCAAAACTGCCAAATGATTTAAATCTAGGGGAGAAACTGCCGACTAATGCACTGTATAACTGTCTTTCAGGCCCAGGCAGTTACCCTAACAGTAGCTCAAGCGTTCAAAGTAGCGTTTGAGTTCTGGCAAGCATCCAAGGAAGGTGAGTGTGTCTCTCTCCGTGTCTTGCCATATAGCCAAGGAAATAATTTGGGTTTATTATCCTTTCAAGTGATCTTTTAAAGTATGCGCTGAAAAAAAGTGGGGGGGCGTTGAGGAGCGTTCTGGCTGCGCTGCTAACATAACTGCAGGTTTCTTGTGCCTCTGACGGCAGGGTCTAGAGTCTGCAATCAGCGGCTGACACATCCTACGGAGTCCTGCTAGTTGTAAATTTGTCTCTGCCGGTTGCTTTCACCATAGGTGGGCAATGAAAAACAGAGTGCCTAACAAGCTATAAAGTAACTAGATATTCTTTCCAAGTCAGCCTGACACCTGTGTCCCTTCCCCCCCCCCCCCCCCCCATGCCAGGGTGCAAAAGAGAATTTGATATTAAGGGGCTGGGGCTGTTCTTCGCCATCCCACCCAATAGGTGCTGAGCACCATCGCTCCCAATGTAATAAAGCTGGGGTGCTCACATCTGAAAACCAAACCTACGGGGGCAGAATCTGTGCTGTGCCACTGAGAAAGGGCACCTGGGAGGACTGTGGGTCTGTGCCACCAGGATTCTAGGCTTCTGTAGGGGCTGGTACAACCCTTGGCATGTAAGTTGGAGTATTCTCTTCTTCCCCCCCCCCAAAATCTATAGCTCTAAGCCCTACACTACTCCAAGGCCATTCAGGGCCACTTGTGTCAGACCTATGCATCTCCTGCACTGGGGAAATACCCTCACTCATGCATCCCTTCCACTTTCATCTCCTATACCGCCCTTATATGCCACCAGAGAGGCACGTAGGGCCTGGAGAAGAGGGAGGAACTGGCCCCAAGTGTTTTGGGTGGTGCTGGGTCTTCTGGAGAGTGAGTGGAACATAAGGGTCTCCTGAGGACGTGACTCAGAAAACATTTGCCCCGAGTCCATGAAGCCCTTGATGCAGGTGGTCACAAAAGTTGGCTGGAAATGGAAGAAAAATCGTGCCCTAATTTGTGACCAAAAAGTCAAATGCAAAACTTCCCACAGGGCAGGAATTTCCAGAAAAACTGCATTTGGGGAGAACCAGGATCTCAAGGCTCCCTGCCTGGAAGGCTTTTGTCAATTTCATTTTTTTTTCTGCTTGCAGGTGTGTCTTCTAGGCAGTCAGTCCAGGAGCCCTCAGTAAATCCCCTCCCCCTGGAAAATCAAACTTTTTGTGGCAAAGCTTCAATTTTGGCCAAACAAATACTTGGACAGAAAATGCCCTGGTGGGAAAGCTCCCGACCAGCTGTTATGATCACTACATACCATGTTTCCGTTAGTGAAATGCACTTCAGGAAATCCAGTGCCTACAGACAGTGAGGGAGTCTTTCTTCTTACAGAGAAAGAAAAGAGGGAAAAGTCCATCTCTGAGGGAGAAGGTGCAAGTGGCCCAAACTCAGAAGATCCTGCCTGCCTTAAAGCATGTAAGTGATGAACAAAAGAACACCCGGTTAGCTTTCAGGGATCTAAAGACCTCTGAGCAGCGACTGGGTTTTTTCATCTGGATTCGACCGAGTCACCTGGCAGAAATGTTTGCTCGGCACTAGTCTCCACAACTTTTGTGTCAGTGGTGCAGATTTGTTATTGGCCAACCACCTATGAAGAGAACCATTCTCAGTCATGGCTTCTACTGCAGCCTCTTCTCTAAATGCCCTCTGTTGAAGCAGGGGGATACAGGCAGGCAGGGCTGCTCACTGACTGGCAGACAGTCCACCTAAAACAAGGTGTCAAACCAAGAAATGTCAGGCCTGACCAGCCAGTTTGGTGCAGCTTTTACAATCGCATACTCTCTCTGCATCTATCTTCAGGGAGAATATGAATACAATGCTAGGGTGTCCCCCCTCCATCTCTTCTCCCCCCCCCCCCCCCCCCCCCGAAGTGACACACAGTTGCTTCACCTGATGGCTGTGGAAAATAGTAAATGCTACTGCATTCTGGGCATGTGCTGCCAAAGTGAGCCCAAGAACTACATCTGGCTTCCTTGAAGGTGGGAGCAATGAACAGGAAAGGAAGAAGTAGCTGAAGAGAAGGAGGTCTGCATATTGCCTGTGTACAAGAAACGGAATGGAAGGGGTCAAAATCTATGGAGGTTGAGGAGTGCTACAAGTTGATTTGTGGCTCAGTAGCATGGATCAGTAGTAAAAAAGAATAGAGAGAGAGAGAGAATAATCCTAGCAGAACATTACAGGCTAGGATAGTGGACATCCAAAGGAAGAGTGAGCGGCTGACGATAGCAGTGAGTAGAGACTAAAACTTTAATATTTTATGTTTAATGTTATGACGGAGGAGGAGGAGGAGGAATTCCAGCTAGCTAGTGGTTTCTTGCTTATCAGTAGGTCCAGCTAAGTGCCTGATTATTAATGCAACTCTCAGTGGACATGGGGGAGAACCCAGGGGCTAAAACAGTTGTTGTCAAGTACGATGCTTTGGAACCAGACATGCAGCTGGTGAGAACATCTTCATTAGCCAGAGTCCATGGCCTGATTGTTGCCAATACATACTTTGTAAAAAGGGAGGCGCGCTTCATTACATAGAGTTGCTACTTCCTGCCAAGAAGAGATTTAACAAACGGGGGAGACGATGAAGTGATTCCGGGAGAGTGGATTATGTTGCTTGTAATGGACTTCGGGGTGAAAAGGCTAGTGGGGTGGGGGGATGGGCAAAAGATGAGTTGTGGGACAAAACAATGAAGTGGTGGAGGCTTGCAGACAAGACTACAACCAAACGGATCATGATCACATCAGCGAGGCTGGGGGGAGAAGAGGGGGGTGGCCAAATGAAAGGGGGGGAAACTTCTTGGCAAGTAGACATGGTGATGGTCCAACAGTGTGCAGGAGGAAAAGTTTTTAAGTGATAGCAGAAAGTAAGAAGGCTAGAACGCTATGAGGAATGGAAGCTGGCAAAGGAAAAGGCAAAACAGTTGTGGTCGGCTTAATTGCATTGCAGAGGGCATGAAACTTTTCACAGCCCTGAGCAATGTAATTAAGATGACATAACTCAGGTGTAGGCCAGCCCTGAGACTGCAAGCAGCCTGAATCTCTAGCTTGGAGAGGTGTGAACTGCCCCATGCATCTCAATGAGGTGTTAACTCTGAAACATAAAATGAGACGCTTGCCAGCTAGCAAACTGACTAACTTGAGCAGGAAACATTCAGTTAATGTGGCAGTTTAAGACAGAAAAAAACAAACACCCACCTACCCTTTGCCTGGTTACCAAAACCTCCCCCAATAGTCCTATGATGCAAATGTACACTTGAATGACATTGTGTGTGGTATTAAACTGAATGCGGGAATGGGCTGCAATAACATTAATATCAAAAGAACCTAGGGGACAAAGTGCAGTCTGCTATTCCCACTTCATATTTAATGCAATAACTCCATTTTCAAACAGATGCTTAAGCAAAGCCGCTGCAGGTCTTCCAGTCTGCTTTACCACCTAATCCAGGGTATCTTGCAGTAAAAATGAGGCTCCTGGCTTTTTTTTTTTTTTTTTTTTTTGTTTTTTTTTTTCTTTTTTTTTTAAAGTTGAGCCTCTTGGTTTTTTTTTTTTTTTGCAGAGGGGCTTTGATAATGCAATGCTTAGCCCAGTAATCATTCTGTACTCCTAGCGTAGCATAGATCAAGACCGTGGTGGCAGTGTGGTCCATTGGGCAAGGCTCTGTACTGGGAAATCAATGGCTGGGTTCTGTTCCCTGCTGTGTGACCCTGGGGAAATCACTTAACTCATCTGGGCCTCTTTCCCTTCCCGCTCTCCTGTCTACTTGGACCCTAAGATTTTACAGTCTCTGCCCAGATGTTTGTACAGTGCCTAGCACTTTCCTGGCCCCGATGTGGGAGGTTGGAGAAGGACTCTCTCTACCTGTTAACGTAAAGCAAGTAAGTGGTGGCAGCCTAGCCTAGTAGGAAGGTATACATATTCCTCTTATTGGGGTGGGGAGGACAGGGAAGGAGAACGGCAAAACTCTTCGTTGTAGAAGCTGGAGGGGAAGAACCCCTCTGTGACCTGTTTTTCCAGGTAACCTTTGTTTGCTCTGTTCACACAGCAGTTGCCACAGGGAACCTGTTGGACTTCGAAGATGCTGCCAAATCTCCCCTGCCTGTCAGCACGAACGCCGCACACGTAGATGAGTTGGGTCCAGACTTCTCATCTGAGAATAACAACATAGTCTGGGTAAGCGTACTGGGGGCGCTAGCTGTTCCTGCTGAAAAGAGGGAGGAATGTGATGCTGGGGGTAGGTGAAGCTTCATTTTCTGTTGGTCATGACATCCTCCATTGGGGCTGGGGGGTTGTCTTCATTCTGGGCCTACCTCTTAACCACAGCCTTAGCAATCGGGAGCAGAACTTCCAGACTACTCAGCCATTCATGCTGGGATTTTCAAAGGTGTCCAATCAAGTTTGCTTCCAGTGGGAGCCTGGAGTTTGATTTGGGTGCCGAATTCCTCCTTCGGCTCCTGTTGACTGCCAAGACCTGGGACTTTCAGAAGAGCTTGTAAACTTGTTTCACAAACCCACATTTCAGATGCTTGGACACTTCTTTATGTGCTTTATCACATACTTGGATGTCTAGTGTTCAGATAGAGGCACCAGTCTGTAGCTGCTATGCATGCTGATGTGGGTTACACCAGTATTCTAGCCATGCAGTCTATTGTTTGACTTGTCAAGTCCTGACTAGTCTGAGACCCACTATCTCAAACTACCTCTGTCTCCCACTGCAGTAGTTGAGATCTGCTGAATTGTGGAGCAGTGATGGGGCCTCTTTAGCCAAGGGGCTTAGCTTCCAGAGACTGCCTGTCTGAACCCAAGTGTTGTGACCTTCAGGCCAAATTAAGAGTATCACCTGTTCATCTCAACAGCTTTAACATCACAGTAGGTCCTGGAGAGATCTTAGCCAATCTCCTCCTTTTGCATAACTCTCAATAGCATCAAGGTCATCAGAGCCCCAAAGCTTAATAGATTTAATCAAGTTGTCCATTGAAAGGCCATTTCAAACCTAATCTTTCAATTAAAACAACCCCCCCCCGCCCGCCCCGTCCCAGCCCCCATTCAGTAATATTCAAATACTGTTCATGGGCAGCCTCCAAAGAGGAGAGATTTGAAAAGGAAGCACACCAGCAGTTCTTCAAGAAACACTGCCCCGTGGCTCTTTAAATATAATTTTCTGGTCACAAAGTTCCAGATGAACTGCTGTATCTGCTGCACTTTGCACCTCGTGAGCTTGAAATGGTGAGTGCAATCAGCCAGCTTGGCCAGTCCTAAAATCGAAGGAGCGATCCCCCTTTCGTTTCCAGCGCTGGGGAAAGCGTCTGCGTGCCAAGAGCGAACCGATGCTTTCAGCCAGAACAACCTTGCATTGAGGGAACAAAAGTAGGCTCTTGTGAGAAGCACCTGCTGGAATCTCAGCATCTGAACTTGGAACAAAGTGGCCGCTCTCGGGGTGAAACTCACCCCTGCGCGGAGGGGACAGTGCGAGGATTAGGCTTGTTTTGAGGGCTTAAGCTGTGCGGAGCCTGGGGCTGTCCCTCCCTGCAGCAGTGAATTTTTACCTAGCGGCAGTGGTGAGAAATTTTAAAGCGGCAGTACACAAATAAAAAGGCATCCCTTTCCCAACAAAATCCACTGCAGAAAATCATCAGGAGGCCTTGGGAAGGGGATGAGGCAATAGCGGTACCTGGCACTGCACCGCTTTCTGCTACCTGAAGTTAACTTGGGTGGGGGGTGCCGGTTGTGTGGATGCTTAATTTTGGAAGGCTTGGAACAGGGAGGGCGATTCCACTGGGCTTTGGATCAGGCCTCACTGGGCCAGGGAGGGGATTGCTGCTGGTGGGGAGGGGGAGGAGAGACGCTGGAAATGGCTGTGGGTGGTGGTGATGGAACAGCATCCCTCAAGCTGGTAGGTCCTGGCTCTTTGCAAAAAACCTGCAGTGCTGGGTCTCAGTCCCTGGTAGCCAGTGTTGCTCTAGGCCAGGGGTGGGCAAACTTTTTGGCCTGAGGGCCGCATCGGGTTTCGTAAATTGTATGGAGGGCCGGTTAGGAGAGAGGGTCATGGCCTGGCCCCCACCTCCTATCCGCCCTCCCCTCCTTCCCCTGGGACTCCTGCCTCATCCAACCCCCCCGTTCCCTGATGACCCCTCTGAGACCCCTGCCCCATACACCCCCCCCACACACACTCCCTGTCCCCTAACTGCCCCTGGACCCCCACTGCCCCATCCAACCCCTCCTCTCATTCCTGATGGGGGCCCCCCCCGGGACCCCTGCCCCATCCAACCACCCCTTCTCCCTGTCCCCTGACTGCCCCCAGAACCCCTGCCCCTGACTGCCCGCTGTCGCCCCATCCAACCCCCCCTCCTTCCTGACTTCCCCCCCAACCACCATCCACACCCCTGCCCCCTGACAACCACCCCGAACTCCCCTGCCCTCTATCCAATCCCCCCTACCCCCTTACCGCGCGTGCTGCCTGGAGCACCGGTGGCTGGCGGTGCTACAGCCGTGCCGCCCGGCTCGAGCCGGGCCACGCTGCCGCTGCCACCACGCTGCTGCTGCCACCGCGTAGCACAGAGACCGGGTCAGGCCGGGCTCTGCAGCTGTGCTGCCCCAGGAGCTCACAGCCCCGTCGCCCAGAGCATTGCGCCGGCGGCACGGCGAGCGAGCTGAGGCTGCGGGGGAGGGGCCGGGGGCGAGCCTCCCGGGCCAGTAGCTTGGGAGCCAGGCAGGATGGTCCCGCGGGCCGGATGTGGCCCACGGACCATAGCTTGCCCACCCCTGGTCTAGGCGCTTGATGATGCTGTACCTACGCCAAAGGAAAGTTGAGCCAGCTCTTTAAATACACTTGCACGCTAGCTTACCAACTACCTCTCTTTCTCTCTTAATAAAGGAAATGGATGATGGGCTCGAGGAGGCATTTTCAAGGTAATTCTAATAACTCTTAACAAGTTTATGGCACTAGGGACCAACCCAAGAGACTTGACTACGACTAGTTCTAATAATGCTTCTAATCTAATCCGCTCCTATGGTCTGACCCGGGGAGCAACCCAGCCAGTGCTTCAGCTCTTAATTGAAAGATAGACTTGGAGGCTGGCTGATCGTCAAAATATTTGACTAACCTTTTAAGGATGGAGATAGGTGTGTGAGATGGGGGGAATCTAATTCCCCAAACATATCATGGTGATAGTGTCTCCTCTTACTGGAAGGGATATGCACTCAGCTGGCAGCGTCTAGTCCCCATGCTAGCAGGAGAGATCTTGGTCTGATCTTCTTGCACTTTCCTGCCCCTCCCCCATGTTAGTGTAACACTAAAATAGTATTTACACTGCCATTCCCCAGATGAACTGCAAACTTGTAATCAAGGGGTAAGACGCTCTAACTCAGATCTAGTTCATCACCTAACCAAGGGGTTATCTATGTTCGAATCCTTGTATTGCTGTAACCAAAGCAACTTGGTGACCGTGCAAATCCCTAATATCTACCTGTTTAAACCATACTTACAGTGGTTAAGGTTAGTTCCGCTTATAGCGCAAAAAAAGTGAGTATACTAGGCTTAAGGTGGAAGGCTCGCTTTCCTTACCTTCGGTGTTCATTGTGGAAAGAGAAGTTGCAAATCATTCCTAAATCATTAAAGGGATGCTGTCAACTTAAATCCTACTCCAAACCAGTTTCCTCACCTATGTTACTAAAGAACATGTTGGACTACTTAAAACTGAACTTTAATAATCAAATTTTACTAATCACTATCTCCCCTCCCTTCCTCCCCCCCTCCCCCCCCAGTTTGGACATTGAATTGTCAGTTTCACTATCCGTGTCACAATGGTTAGGCTGCAAATGCGGCAGGAGCACATTTATTAATCTGTTCCCAATGGAATTTAGCAAATTGTGAAAAATTCTTTCCGTTGGTCTTTCTTTTAAAAGCATCATTACGGTTTGGGTTTGGCTTTTGTTGTGGTTTTAAAAAAAAATATATATATATATACACACACACACACACATACACACATACATACACACACACACACACACACACACACACACACACACACACACACACACCTCTACCCCGATATAACGCTGTACTCGGGAGCCAAAAAAATCTTACCGCGTTATAGGTGAAACCGTGTTTATATCGAACTTGCTTTGATCCGCCGGAGTGCACAGGCCCCCCCCCCCCCAAGCACTGCTTTACTGCGTTCTATCCGAATTTATGTTATATCGGGTCGCGTTATATCGGGGTAGAGGGGTGTGTGTGTGTAATATTTGGGGTCAAATTTGAGTTGGTAGTCTAAGATCTATTATATGAACTCCAAATATCTTTTGTGCATGGGAGAGTTGGCACTGAAGTATTAGGCTTGTACGTATGGAATTTAGTAATATAACTACAAAAAGGTGGGGCTTTAACTTTCATAAACATCTACAGTGCCCTGGGATGAAAGATCCTGTTAAAAATGACCCTACAGGCAGGCCACCATTACCATTTCAGATCTGAGCACAGCCTCAAAATACTGTGGTGGGTTTTTTGTTTTTTTTTCTTTTTTCCCCTGAAGAGTAAAATTTTAGAACAGACTTCTGAGAACCAGGAGTGCTGCTGTGAGCTGTTGGAATGATTGTGGATGGCAGTAAATTATGTACTGGCTGCTTGCTCAAGTATTCCTGGAATGGTGAAAATTTAGACATTTTCTTTTGGTGAGGCTGCTTTGGTCAGAGCGTTCTTTTAATTGAGATAAGGTCCCTGCTCACAATGCACCAGTCAGTGCTAGCTTAGGAGGAAAAAGACAGGATTTTGCCAGGCCTATAATGTAAAGGAAGCCCTCATCGCAAATGTAGACTGTCTTTAAGGTGAAACTCTGATAAGCCAGCAGAGAAGCAGGCATCAAACTTCAGAGAGCTGCAAAGATCAGCTCTTTCTCTCTTTAGGAGCATTTCTTTACAAGCTGTGGGAAGGATGTTGAAGTATGAAGCTGCATACAGCAGCATAGATGTGGGAAGTATAGAGGCTATAAACACCTTCCTTGTGGCTAAAGGTGATCTGCTGATCTTTCTTCTCAGACTTGCTCAGTCTAGAACCAACCCTCACGTGCTGGACACTGGCCTGACTGCTCAAGATATCCAGAGCGCGGAAACCCTCTCTCCTGTAGACTGGGACAAAATTGATTCAAATGCGGCAGAGAAAGACGACCTGTTTGGGTTCTGAAGAGCTCCTCCTCCACCGAACAGTTTGCAGTAGAGTAACCACTTAAAGTAAAAGGACTGAATGCGAACCCTTCTGGGTGAAGTTCTGGAGGGCTTTCTTGAAGGGTAGGTTTCACCATTCTTACAGATGCTGTTATCACACCAACAACTGCTTAGACCAAAGCTTTAGACATTTAATACATTTTTTTTAACCTTGCTTTTTATCTAAACAACGAGATGCTCGTGAATATATTTATTCAGTAACCGTTACAGTTTACATATATTATGGAAGATAATTTTGTATGGATCCAGCAATGTAACGTGTACAGTCTTAGATGGCAATATACTGATGAAAGAGTATTCAGCAGAGCTTGCTGTCTTCCAAAAATGACTATCCAGCACCAAAGACTCTTTAGCGTGTACATATTTTTCTAGATTCCTGAACATATAATTGCAATTGTAAGCACAACTGTTACTCATCCCTTGCTTTTAAAACAACTCCTAGTTCTGCAGTTGTCCTCTTGCATTTCACCTTCTTGATCAACTGGGAGGGAAAGAACTACAACAGCTGATAGCAGTATTAAAATCAGAGGTAACAGGTTTTATTTTCCTTGTGAATGTCTGTGATAAAGCCCCATAGTTGTCAGCCATCAGTAATGGGTTGTCTGACACTTTGCTAGCTTTCAGATTGGAGTTGGCACACTTACCCAAAAGAGTCGGAGCTTTTCACTTTAAAAGCCTGAACTGAAAGTATGGCCCAAAATGTCAAAACAAGCTGGGTGTTCATCTGTAACCTCTCTTCTCACCCAGAAGCTACTGATCCAAAAACCACCGCAATATTGCAGGTCTGTATCTCACAACCGACCTCTCACACTTGTAATATTTTTTTCATTATGACTCTAAATCTGAAGACTTCAGTCGCAAAAAGGTTCTCTGGTAACACTTGGCTTTTGATTGTACATTGAAAATTGCAGGTTGGATTGAACCAGTTGCACAATAGGTTAATGCTTAAACACTGGCTGCCTCTTACTGTGTACACCTCTATCTGGTCTCCATACCAATCTCTCTCTAGTGGAGCCACTTAGTAGACTGAGGTAGAATTGGATTAAGTGAAACCAATATTTACCTGGATGTTCTTCCAAGGGAAAAAAAATCCCCTGTATGCTATTTTGATGATTATCCTTCCAAGACCTACACTTCCTGAGAAGCTGAGAGAAAAATGCCACTCCTTAATCTCCTGTACTTCAAGATTTGAAAATAAATAATGGTGATATAAGGATTATGTTAATTAAAAGATTAAACTTAATGAGTGCACAGACACAGTTTGCAGTGTGTGTGGCCTTGTGAGGAATATACTAATCTGTTTTATAGATTTGTAACTCAGTTCTGAAACACTATGTGGGGAATGAATTCGGCTTTTTATAAGTCTCCTAACATTGTACAAAGTAAAAATAAATAAATAAATCTCTCAGGGGAGAGGAAAATAATTGTATTCGGAAACAGCTGAATGACTCTTAACTTACAGACGGTGCATTTTATAAGGGGTACTGCGATATGCTAAGGGGGAGCTGTAAAGCTGACTCATCATGTCTACTATAAAACCTTGGTGCTCCTTTCTCCTGCAAAAGCAATCTTGCATCTTGTTTGGTCTCATCGGTGGCACTAATCTCTTGCAAATAGAGGAGTTGCACACTAAGTTTTGTATATCTGCTGTATGTCGATGGTATAAACAGCCTCCAGATTAAGCAAAGCTAGCTGAAGGCAAGCACCCTGCTCTCTGATTCATTGGGGGAGTTGTGATATATTTTTTTTTCCCCCTAAAAGAATTTTTTGTTGCACGAACCATGAGGATTCAGCTATACATTCATCTCTTTTTCTCTAGAGATCCTTGGAGTATATACTTAGATCTAGTATTCTGCATATATGTACATAGTCTGAAACCCTTTGCTGTAAAAAATATCTGTACTAATAAAAGTTCTACCTTTTTTGAGTACCAGTGCTGGACTGCTTTAATGTGCAAACAGGGTGGCAAGAAAAATTTAGCTTTTCACTGCTTCTCACATGCAACGCTTACCTTCTCCCTCCCACATCTAATGGACAGTAAATGACCAGAAACTACCAGCATATGTAACACTTGTAGAATGCATGCCTTGATCAGTCTCTTCATAGCGGCCTACCTGTGGAGGAGTGATTGCTGGAGTCTTATTGTAATCAGATGGCTAACTCTCTGACGAACACCTGCTTTGACTCAGCCCCCAGGTAAGAATCATCAGTTCTTTCCCACGCTGTGCTGGGCTTTTGGCAGGCCATGGAGTGGGAGGTGCTTGGGGGAGAGCGGTGGGCAGGGGGCCTCAGGAAGGGCGGAGAGTGGTGGGTGGCTGGGGAGGCTTGGGGGAGGAGGCAGAGAGGGAGGTGGGGCAAGGCTTCAGGGAAAGGGGCAGAGTGGGGCAGGGCCTCAGGATGGGGGTGGCGCACCCACCAGGGAAAAATAAAAGTAAACGCCTGTGTACAACTAGAACAGGAGTACTTGTGGCACCTTAGAGACTAGCAAATTTATTTGAGCATAAGCTTTCGTGGGCTACAGCTACTTCTGTACAACTAAATGTACAATTCTTTACAAATAAATTTTACATGTGGTAATTGTCTAAGTTGCAAGAATTTCTTAGACCCTTCCATGAGAGGCGATAGCTAATTTTTACTGTTGCCTCTTCAAATCTGAATCGAAAAGACGCTTTTCTTAGCCCTGAAGTTTTGTTTATTCTACCCCATTTTTCTGCAAGCTTTGGAGGCGGTCTCTTGGGCTAACATTTAATCACTTAGCTAAAAATCGCCTGTTGAACGGCAAATATAGAAATTCATTTTAGGATGTTGACAAATAGATTTAGTAAACCATGAGCAATGGAATGTTCTCAAAATGTAACCCTGAGCCAGTCTGGTATTGAATACTGAGTGGGTCGGAGTTTACAAAGATTCCTTTCATCAGTGTCAAACTAACAAAAATTCCATAAGTTCTCTCCCACCCCTCCACTCCCCCAACTATTTAAATTGGCTGTTCCAGTCTAAGGATACGTCTCAAATTATGAATACTAAGTATCCAGTCTGGTCTTTCATGCATAACTGATAAAGGTGCCAAGGAACAAATTGATCTTTCAATTCTGATGTGACCTTTTGAGTGTCTGTGTAGAAATTTTACGAATCCATTTTCCTTCAGCTGTGTAAAACGGTCTCCTTTGCTCCCGTTTTTAGAACCATTTAGGAAGCCGAATGCATTGTGGGGAGAAGTTGTACTTTTTTTCCCCCCCCCTCTCTCCCTAGGGATACGTCTACACTACCCACCGGATCGGCGGGTAGCGATCCATCTATCAGGGATCGATTTATCGCGTGTAGTGTTGGAACAATTCCTCTCCTCCAACTGATTCTAATTTCCATTTCCTAGAGTATGGGTCCCCCCCTTCTGTCCTATTCACCCCCTCTTTCACTAGCCCCTGAATAATGTTCTTCAGGCACTTTCATTGCTCTTCCAGATAGATTACTCTTAATCCTTCCTAAGAGGTGGAAGCCCAGAGGAAAGGCCAGCACCATGTGACTGGCCAAGTCTCCAGCCCAGGCTGGGGTGATAGGTGTGGGGAGGGGCATGTACATCTCCCCACACCAGAGCAGGAAAGGAAGGGGTTAATTCCCTGCAAGGAGGCTTTGTCTGCTGATTGGAACAAGAGTTTCCTCCTGGACTCTGCAGGGCAGGTATTTAACGCAGCAGGGGAGGGAGTGTCTGAAGGAAGAGGAGTTGTTTTCCTCCTGGCCTGAGGAGGAGTGGAGCCAGGTGCTTGCCAGTGCCAGCGTGACAGCAAAGGGAGGAGAACTCCGGGACCAGCCTGTTTTCTCTCTGCTCCAGCTGCTCTCAGATAAGATTTGACTCCTTATTTTCCTTTCAGGAGTGAAAGGAGTCTGTCAGGGACTGGGCAGCAGAGAAGCCTGGGGCTAGTTACAGAGAAACAGGTTGGAATCATAAAGGGGCATTAACCCTTGACACCCTTTTTCACTCCCCACCCCACCCCCAAATAAAATTGCTGATGCTCTATATCGACACTTCACTTTTGTTGGTCAGGAGTGTGGGGGTGGGGGGAAGTTTTACTGATGAAAAGTGCCGGTGTGGACAACTTGCTGGGGGTGGTTTTATTTTCCCAGCAGGAGAGTTTTCTCCTGCCGGCAAAGAGCAGCTACACGGGACACCCTTACAGCGGCACAGTATAGACACAGCCTGAGTCTGACTTTACAGCCTCCGTCTAGTCCTGCCTAGGGATTGCGTGCGTGTAGGCCAGCGACGCTTCAGCACAAAGCAAGCTTAGATCAGATCTACAGTGAGCTTCTGCAAGCAGGTTCACGCCAATTTTAGTGGCAAACGGCTATGCTCTATCTATCCTAAGCTGCTGCTGCGAATCATGTGATAAGCCAGCTAGCCCCGTGCACGGTCTTATGCTTGGTGCAGTCTAAGTGTTTCGAGATGAGGGGGCTTGTCTGCAATGAAGATGTGAAAAAATTCCTTATCCTTCTTCTTCTCCTACTGCTGAAGTGATCGTTCGGCTTTAAGTGCCTGGTACAGCTGTGCTTCTGAAGTGCTGGGTTTGTCGCTGTGGGCTGGAACTAACTGTACAGAAGGCTTAATGACTTGATGCATCCTGCAGATGTTGGCAGGTATGAACAAGGAAGCTAAGTATAAGTGGATCTTCAATCTCTTGCCGCAGAGCTTCTGTGTAGGTAAAGAAACCTGCAGACAGCCCGAGCTGGACTGTAGGTAGCCAACTTCTTTAGCGGCCAGCATAACCTTGTCTGACTCGGACAAAGTACCCTGTACTTAAGATCTTCTAAATCTATTGTGCTTCGCTATGTCCAGCCCCCTCACAATGTTAAATGAATCCCTTTGAGTAATGGCCAGTCTTTTATGTGTCTGCAAAACTGGCTGACTTAATTTTTTTGCCCTTTTCTTTGAGAATATTTTATATCCATATCCCCATGGGGATGGAATTAAACACCTTGTCCCCAAGCCAAAGGAGCGGGGAGATGGTAGGAGCCTACACGCCAGTTTCTCTATGAATGTGGCTTGCCAACACTACTCATTTCCATTGCCTCTGAGAAATGGGCTCTTGCCAAAAGGCCTCTGGGCTGGCAGAATGTAGATGATGAAACAAGTTTAGCTCAACACTTTTTTTAATTTTTAGGGGGGGGGGGGGGGTGCACAATAGTCTTCCAGTTAAAGCACTGGATGAGGAACTGGCAGGGGGGTGGGAATATTCAAGGTCATCTCCCAGCTCTGCCACAGACTGCGACACCTTTTGAGCAAGTGTATCAAAAGTTGCTGCCTCAACTTCCCATCTATAAAATGGGTCTGATCTAGTCTTTGTCCATTTAGAATGCGAGATCTTGAGGAGAAGGCTTCTTCCCAGGCATATGTACAGTGCCTAACACAAGGGGGCCCCCATCTCATTTAGGGCCCAGTACAACACGAATACCGTGGTATTTTCTGTAAATGGCTCAGGGTGGGGTTCTTTAGTAGGAATCGCCGGTCTGGGCAGTGCCCCCACGTTGGGCTGTATTTGTCAAACTGCTCCCGTGAGAGTGCTCCTCGCAAAGGGAGTGTCTCCATAAAGGAATATGAGCAGCTTTATCCAAAGGAGGCACCTCATTGCTAACCGTGTGCAGGGTGTTGTCAAAGAAAGACATGGCCCTCTTCAGAGGGGGGCTGCTTGCCCCTTTCTGAAAATGGGGGGACGGGGCCTTTCAAGGATCACAAATTGGGTAGAATACGAGGCCCTATTGAAAATCTTGGCTGGGGGGGGGGGGGGGGGGGTGTTTGCAGAGTGGCTCATTCAATATTTTGAGTTGGTCTTGAATAGACACTCGGGTCACATGGTGTTCTGCTCACTGGGTAGATGTGTGAGGCTTACGAATTGGCTTGCTGGTGTGAATACATGTGTCTGAGTCCAACCCAGTGAGAATGTGTCTCTTTAAAAATCTGTTCAGAAGGTGACCCCATCAAGCAAATTCAGTCTATTTGCTCAGCTGCTGGATCATTGCCCCATGTAGCATGAGTTTGATTTGTATCCCTGGCAGCTGGGGTTGGGAGGTGAGTGGGTGCACTGGAGGAAGGGAAGTGTGGGCTGTCCTCGGGGAATTGAGGGGGAGGCGGCTGCTGGAGAGGAGGGGGAGCAATGGAGGACAGGAAGTGGGGAGATGCTGTTGTTGAAGGCCTCTGAGTGGAAGACAGGTGAAGGAGCTTTATTACCATCACTGTGGGCCATCAAACAGCCTGTAACTCTGTCTACAGTTGGGGATAAGGTTAGTGCTTAAAGTGTGTGGGAGGGTATCCAAAGGGGTCACAGACCTGACCCGAAAACAACTGTATTCAACTCAGGATGTTCTCAAGTGCTGTCTTGCCAAAGCTGCTGCTCCCAGAATATGATAGGACTTGCCCCCCCACACCCACTTTTTTTCAGATCACTAAGCACTGAGTAGGGCTATACCTTATTGTCTAAGAAGCATGGTCTAATGCCTCCGCCACAGAACCATGATGTCTGGGTTCTCTTCCCAGATCTGCCACAACCTCCATTTCCCCATCTGTATAATGGGAGTAATGCCAACTTCACAGAGAAGCCGTGAGAGACAATTCATTGATGTCCGTCAAGTGTTTTGTGATCCTTTGATGGTAGGTGTTACAGACTGGCATAAAGTTGTCTTGTTCATGATCAGAACTTTTAGCATTGCAGATGCTGAGGTCTTAAGCTTTATTTATTTTTTCCCCCTGCTCTACTCTCTGGAGTGCTGAAAGCTAGAGTGAATTTGTAAATTCACGATATGGGTGAGAGAGCTGTGGGCTATGGTGATCTGATCCAGACCATATGTTTTTAAAAACTACAAATGAAAAGAGCAACATTTAATCTGAGCTCCTGAGAGGTGTATTTTCTTTATAGCTAGCCCTGGAGTGCCTGGAAC